GGGGAGAGTGGGCATCTTTGTCTTGTCCTCGATCTTAAAGGAAAAGGTTTCATCTTCTCACTGTTAAGTATAATGTTGGCTGTGGTTTTGTCATAGATGGCCTTTATTATGTTAAGGTACTTGCCCTCTATACCCACATTGTTGAGAGTTTTTATCGTGAATGTATTTTGAAGTTTGTCGAATGCTTTTACAGCATCTATGGAGATGATCATGTCATGTGGTTTTTGTCCTTCTTTTTGTTGATGTGGTGGATGATGTTGATGGATTTTCTAATGTTGTTCCATCCTTGCATCCCTGGGATGAATCCCACTTGATCATGATGGATGATCTTTTTGATCTATTTTTGAATTCAGTTTGCTAATATTTTGTTGAGTATTTTTGCATCTATGTTCATCATGAACATTGGTCTGTAATTTTCTTTTTTGTTGTGTCCTTGCCTGGTTTTGGTATTAGAGTGATGTTGTCCTCATAGAATGACTTTGGGAGTATTACCTCCTCTTCTACTTTTTGGAGAACTTTAAGGAGGATGGGTATTAGGTCTTCACTTAATGTCTGATGAAATTCAGCAGTGAAACCATCTGGTCCAGGAGTTTTGTTCTTAGGTAGTTTTTTGATTACCAATTCAATTTCCTTGCTGGTAATTGGTCTTTTCAGATTTTCTGTTTGTTCCTGGGTCAGCCTTGGAAAGTTGTATATTTCTAGGAAGTTGTCCATTTCCTCTCAGTTATCCAGTTTGTTACCATATAATTTTTCATAGTATTCTCTCATAATTCTTTGTATTTCTGTGGTGTCCATAGTGATTTTTCTTTCTTGTTTTGTTTTATTCTTCTCGATTTTATTTATTTCTGCTGTAATCTTTATTATGCCCCTCCTTCTACTGACTTTGAGCCTCATTTGTCTTTCCTTATTTAGACTGTTCATATGGGATTTTTCTTATTTCCTGAGGTAGGCCTGTATTGCAATATACTTTCCTCTTAGCATGGCCTTCGCTGCCTCCCACAGACTTTGTGATGCTGAATTACTGTTGTCATTTGTCTCCACATATATTGCTTGATCTCTGTTTTTAAGTGGTCCCTGATCCATTGATTATTTAGGAGCATGTTATTAAGCCTCCATGTATTTGTGGGCTTTTTCATTTTCTTTGTGTAATTTATTTCTAGTTGCATACCTTTGCAATCTGAGAAGCTGGTTGGTAAAATTTCAATCTTTTTTAATTTACTGAGGCTCTTTTTGTGGCCTAGTACATGATCTATTCTTCAAAATGGTCCATGTGCACTTGAGAAGAATGTGTATCCTGTTGCTTTTGGATGAAGTGTTCTGTAGATGTCCATTAGGTCCATGTGTTCTAATACGTTGTTCAGTGCCTTGTCTCTTTACTTATTTTCTGTCTGGTTTATCTGTCCTTTGGAGTGAGTGGTGTGTTGAAGTCTCCTAAAATGAATGGATTGCATTCTATTTCCCCCTTTAATTCTGTTAGTATTTTTTTCACATATGTAAGTGATCCTGTGCTGGGTGCATACATATTCATAATAGTTATATCCTCTTGTTGGACTGACCCCTTTATCATTATGTAATGTCCTTCTTTCTCTCTTAATACTTTCTTTGTTTTGAAGTCTAATTTATCTGATACAAGTACTGCAACTCCTGCTTTTTTCTCCCTATTAGTTGCATGAAATCTCTTTTTCTATCCCTTCACTTTCAGTCTGTGTATATCTTTAGCTTTGAAGTGAGTCTCTTGTAGGCAGCATATAGATGGACCTTTTTTTTTATCCATTCAGTGACTCTATGTCTTTTGATTGGTACATTTAGACCGTTCACATTTAGGGTGATTATCGGTAGGTATGTACTTACTGCCATTGCAGACTTTAGATTCGTGGTTACCAGAAGTTCAAGGGTAAGTTCCTTACTATCTAAGTCTAGTTTAACTCACTTCATATGCTATTATAAATACAACCTAAAGGTTCTTTTTGTCCTTTTTCTCTTCCTCTATTCTTTATATCTTAGGTACCATATACTGTACTCTTTCTCTATCCCTGGATGGACTTTGGGGGTACTTGATTTGATTTTGCATCTGCTTAGTAATTAATTGTTCTACTTTCTTTACTGTGGTTTTATTTCCACTTGTGACCACTATTTAGCCTTAGGAATACTTCCATCTATAGCAGTCCCTCCAAAATACACTGTAGAGGTGGTTTGTGGGAGGTAAATTATCTCAGCTTTTGCTTATCTGAAAATTGTTTACTCCCTCCTTCTGATTTAAATGATAATCTTGCTGGGTAGAGTATTCTCGGTTCAAGGTCCTTCTGTTGCATTATATTAAATATATCATGCCACTGCCTTCTGGCCTGTAAGGTTTCTTTTGAGAAGTTGATGATAGCCTGATGGGTTTTCCTTTGTATGATCTTTTTTCTCTCTCTAGCTGCTTTTAAAAATCTGTCTTTATCCTTAATCTTGGCCATTTTAATTATTATATGTTTTGATGTTGTCTTCCTTGGGTCCCTTGTGTTGAGAGATCTGTGCACCTCCATGGCATGAGAGACTATCTCCTTTGCTAGATTGGGGAAGTTTTCAGCGATTACCTCCATATAATATTTTCTATCCTTTTTTCTCTCTCTTCTTCTGGTACCCTAAAATGTGGATACTGTTCCGTTTGGATTGGTCACACAGTTCTCTCAATATTCTTTCATTCTTAGAGATATTTTTCTCTCTGTACCTCAGCTTCTTTGTATTCCTCTTCTCTATTTTCTATTCCATTTACCATCTCTTCTACTACATCTAATCTGCTTTTAAATCTCTCCATTGTATGTTGCATTTCAGATATGGAATTTCTTAATGATTGAATCTCCAGCTTAAATTCGTCCCTGAGTTCTTGAATACTTTCCTGAACCTCCATGAGCACGTTTATGATTTTTATTTTGAACTGTCATGAAGTTTGATGAGTTCAGTTTCATTTGGCCCTTTTTCTGGGGTTTGTGAGATTTTGGTCTGAACCAGGTCCCTTTAACGTTTCATCATTCTATGTGGAGCCTTCTAGTGCCCAAAGGTCTAGTCTCTGGAGCTGCTCAGCCCCTAGGGTAAGGTTGGGGGTTGTAGGGGAACGATTCTGGTGCAAGAGAGGAGGAAAGAGCTGTTTCCTGATTTCCAGCTGCAGTGACTGTCTTCAGTATCAGAGCCGGTGGGCTGAGCACACAGGTGTAAGCCTCTGTGCTTGGCATCTCTAGCTGTTGTAGGCGGGGCCTCCCTCTGGCTGGCCTGATGCTAATGCAGTGACTGCCAGTTTGCGAGCAGGTGCTGGTAGGCCAGGAGGAAGGTGCAGCAGGCTGCGTGCACTAATGATTTCTTTTTGTATTCTTTTGGGAAGAAGACCAAAATCAGTCCATCTATTGTATGCGGTACACCATTACAGGTCTGAACTACTCAGAAATATGTTATCAGCTTTGCTAGATAAATCTAAGTACCATGTGAACTGCCATATGGGTCCAAACATTCCATTATATAAATTACATTTGGTAATGGTCTCCATTGAGAAAATTGCTCACATTGTATTGAATCCAATAAAACCTAACAAAAACCAAATCTAACTAAATTGAAACTAACTGAAGATGAATGGGGCTTAAATGAAGACAAATATAAAACCTTACCACCCAAATAACCAAAGTGACACTTCCAAGGAAACACCCCCTAGCCCATTAGGTCAAACTGCTGGCTTTAGAGCCATTATGTACAAAAAAATAGAACAACAAGTGAATACTTTCTTGCCCAGTTAAAATGTGTATATTCCATACCTAGAAATTTTACCAATACCTACTTATCTGGTCAACAAAATGCAGCTAGATTTGAATGACAGCTCCTGCAAAGTTTCAATAGGTAACTTTGGAAGTAATCCAAGCAGTTGTAAATCAATCTTTTACCCCCAAATCCTTCAGATGTACATGTTCCAGATATCTACAGATAATCCCACAGCTAAGCAATGGAATGCTACAGCCATCTCCTGTCCATAGGTTAAATTTCTGACAATCTCTAGCATTAATATTCTGTACAATGAGCTGACTTCAAGTAGTGCTCTTGACTTTTTCTGAGACTGAATGAAATACATCAATCAGAGAGTCATGGGTCAGAACTAGAAAGCTAGCTTGTGGTTTCTCAGTCTTAGCACTATGGACAATCTGTGCTGAAAATTACTTGTTGTGAGGAAATGCCCTGTGCATTTTAAGATATCCTTAACATAGACCTCCTGAGTTGTGACAACCAAAAATGTTTCCAGATGTTGTCAAAGGTTCCCTTGAGGAAAAAAAAAACACTTCCGTTAGTGAACCATTGGGTCTTGTTGTGCTCAGGCCACTGGACCAACTAAATCTAATTGGGCTACCAAAGACACACCATATGTGAACCATCATCAAGAAACAGAACAATCACAAATTTAAACTTTATGTTGCACATACATATGTTCCTATGAAGTGACCATACCTAGAAAGAAGCATCTAGACTAAGAAATTTAAAAAGCCAACCAGAATACTCAGCTATCATCTCTACTATAACTCTTGGATCCATACTCAAACTCAACATGGAAATGAAATAACCATAAAGAACTAGAATGACTAAAGAAAAATACTCAGATATCTATCAGTAGTAAAACTTGAACTATTTTCCAACTACATCAGCCTCTCTCTCCCTCAACAAATTCTAAATGGCTTGTTGAGGTAGCTGTCTTCAATTATTTACCAGTACAAACTGCCACATTCCCTTCTGCCTGGACTGAGCAACAAGGCACCCAGGAATCAGGAAGTAAGAAACTGAGAATTTGAGGAGGAACTGTACCTTGGTTTGCCTCTTTTATAAAGGTACTTTAAGAACTTGTTTACTTGCTACTACTACTATTCAACTCCAAAATTTTCTATTTCCTTATATTCAGTGGCAAGACAAAAAAAGCCAGTCACTTATGAAGTTAATCACTTTGAAATTTTAAAAAATAGTTACTCTCTGGAAACTCAGACATTTACCTTGAGCAACCAGATCTCGTCTCAATAATGGATAAAGAACAGGTTCTACACCATCCATCTCTTGTATAATAAGGGTTTTCCCAAAACGCACTGCCAACTCAAGAGCTGTGATAAAGTTACTATCCTAAAAGAATAAAAAATGACACATATGAATTCCATTATTACCTTAATATTTACAGAGAGGTCTTACAGATAATGAATGATGATATTAACAGGAATAATATGAATATTTTAAAATTTAATATTCATGTTAATAATTCAAATTATTCATGATTGCTTTTCCAGTTATAAGTACTTAGTGATGAATTATTTTAGTTGAATAAATGATCACATAAATTTCATAAGTAATGTACATAGATATGGAAAATAAATTTTTTTATATTAGCAATAAGAAAGTCCTACTATAGTTTCAACTTGATTCATAAACAAATTTTCAAATTCTACATGCAATAAGTTACTCACCCAAGTATTAGAAAGAACTACTTAGGTTATGTTCAAAATCAAACATTGAACAGAAAATAAGAGGCAAGATGATGAATGTTAGTAAATGTTTCTTGGTGCAACATTTGAGCACCAAACAACAAATGTTCTTAGTGACACACATAAATAAGCTAAATGCCCCATTTTATAAAACACGTATATTTTAAAGAGGTCATTTTCAAGTACCTGAGGAATACCTATGAATATTAATCATGCACTAAACCCTCCACCAAAAAAAAAAAAAAAAAGTACCTGAGGAATACCTATGAATATTAATCATGCACTAAACCCTCCACCAAAAAAAAAAAAAAAAACCAACCAAAAAAATTTCCTTAGCAAGATAAATATGACAGTGAGAAGTCACTACCCAAAAGAATATTATTACATTTCACTGACCAATGTCATATCTTGGAACACATCAAAAATGCTCATTGGTGAGTTATAGGAGTACAAAATTTTAAGAGACATTGAGAGAAATTATTAGTATACTGAAAGTCCAGGAGGCTTTCTCCAAGCTAAGTTAGGATCTCTTACTTCTACAGGATCTTATACTTATGTCTTTAATCATAGTTTAGTGTAAAAGCTTATTTAATTTGTCTCTCTAACCTACTAGACTGTCATCTCCATGAGCAGGAACTATGACTTCCTTACTCACTTTTAAATTTCCAGGGCTTTAAATTCCCTAGCACATAGGAGGACCAAATAAAGATCCATATCCTTTTTATGAATTAGAAAACTGAAGCTAAGAGAGTTTCCCCAGACCCCAGCTTTGAATCTATTTTCTGATTGCAGACCCAAAGCTCTTTTCATGGTAAGATGTTATTACTAGTCAATATCTAAATTACAAGTAATACACACCTGCTGGTTTATAACTTCCAAACGTGAGTCTTTCAAGTGTGACTTTAACCATTCCGTAGCTTGGGAAGAAGGATCTATAAGAAATGGGCATACTCGACTCTAGTTTAAAAAAAAAAAAGATTATAAGTTTATATTGAATGGAAATAATTTATCAAAAACTATGAATCAATTACTGAGTTAGTTTTACTCAGGTTTTGGAGAACATAAATATACAATTGTAAGGATGAAATAAAGGTAGTTTTTAGCTGCACCACAGGCCACATTAGCATATTTTACAGTGGTCTGAATTAATACTAGGTAATTGAATTTAATACAGTAAAGTGAGTTTAGTCCTATTCATTACACAGTGACACAGAAAATACATATTAACAGTATAGTCAGCAAGAGCTTTAGTCCAGTCTGATGCCATCTGTACCTCTCTGTTTGGCTTCTAAAATACACAATCAAGTTATTCCACAACTTCATATATTCTTTGGCTGAATAAACCATAAAGACCTTGGAAGAGAAGTATGAACTAATTATAGAAGTACTACTGAAATAATTAACAACATATTGTTTGTATTTTAAGAATTACAATATGTCTTAAAAAGCAATACATAGTTAATATTACAAAAGCAGTGTTCTGGAAGAGAAAATTACATATATTATAGTTTAAGATCTAATGAACTAGGAACTAAACTCATTATAAAATACCCTGCACTAATTAGTCTGAAACAAATAGAAAGGTAGAAACCAGTGAATATGCCCTACACACCACAGTGCCATTTAGCACATGAAAGGAAACCTTAAATCTACATCTATATAAATCAAATATATGTAAATGCATAAATATGTATAATAAATTTAAACATCACTGCTATCCAGCAAATCAGATTCAAATAACAATGATGGGTATTTTTTCTTGCATTTTCATATTTATTTGAGAAACATAATGCAGTTCTCTGCTGTGAGGAGAAGATACACATGAATGTCAATGTGAAATGAAGACTTAGAACTCAGGTGTCAGAAAAGAACATAGGTATTATTTCAATGACACATGGAAAGTAGGTGGATGGTGGGGACAATCTGACCCCAGGACAAAGAGCATTTTATCAGCAACACCATTTAAAGTTTTCAGCACATGGTGATAATAAAGAGCTGACTGACTCTAAACAGCTTTCCTATTGTTTCAAAATTCTCTACAGACAAGCACTCGCTTTTGCTTGTACCCAGAATGGACTTCTCACACCACAGCTTCCCCAGTGTCACACTGTGGTATTGTCACCCAGCATCTATTTATGGAGAATTTATTACCACTTCATAATAAAAATGTGCTTTTCCTAGCAAAATAAAGTGGTTGGTTAATAGCCTCTTATGTATTACCAATATACTATACCTAGGTTTTAGATCTAATTTTATGCTAGCCTTCAATAGCAAACATTTCACTAGATTTTGCCCAACCATAATAATTATTTTATTTTTTAAAAAATGCTTACCCATGATTTCAAACCAATGATCTGACGCAGTTAAAAAAACAAAGAGATAATGTTTCAAAAAATCTTGTTTTTAGCAAAGAAAATATGCTTTAGAATTTCAAAGAGTACTTACAATTTGTATTCATCTTATGCTTCTCCAGAGACATTTAGACAAAATCTATAAGGTATATTTTAGGTCGGTGTTCCATGATTAAATGTAGTTAGGTTTGCATTTAACAAAGTATAATAGATCCAAAAATGTTGAGCTTTCATGGATTTCTTTTGGATTTATTCATGGATTCATTCATCTACCATACGTAGAATACATAATATAGTAAGACAATGTGCAGATTACAGAAATTAATAAGATACATTCCCTCACCCACAATGACATCAATCCAACGAAGAAGAAAAAAATGAAAATTCCATAGCCAAAGAGTATACATGATACTATGGTGGGTCACAAGCAGAGTTAGGGGAAGCTGATAGGAAGCGATTGAAGTCAACTTAAGAAAGACAAATTGAACTTAGCCTGGTGAGGAAGTGAAAAAGTATGTCAGACAAAGACAACAGCATGATGGAGAGAGCAATAAAAAGTCTGGGAGCATTTGGAAAACTACCAGTAGTTTGGCATAACCAGAATAAAAAGATGTAGGCAAAAAAGATGTATACAAAGTGGCAGGAATAATTGGGATCTTTCTGATCATGAAGAGCTTTTTGTGCCATGCTTAAGGATAATGAAATTCTTATTCTTCAAGCAATGGGAAGTTATTGTAATATGTTAATCAAGGGATTGTCATGATCAGATTAACATTTAGATCACTCCAGTAAAGGAAGTGATACTCGCAGCAGGGAACCAACAGGTATAATAATGTATTTATATAGGTACAAAATGACGAAGGACTAAATGAAGCTACTAGTAGTAGATGTGGTTAGAACAGGATACACTCATATTTCTAAGGAATAGATTTGACAATACTTGCTGAATAACTAACTAAATGCACAATTAAAGAGACATAGAGAGTATGGCTTGCAGATTTGCAGCCTGCATTACTGGGCCAAGACTGTTACATCTCCACTGGTAGGAAATGAAAGAGAGGCACATGATAGACAGTGGGGAAGGGAAAAAAAAACACTGGAGTGAACAGCTACCTTATGCTACCAGGCATGCCCTACTCAATGTACTTCTAAAGGGATTATCAATCTGTGGCACTGAACCCAAGGGTCAAGCAGGTGACTCAAGCTGATCAATCAGAATCTTTTGGAGGGGCTGACATAAATGCCGGGGATGTGGCAGGCATGGAGTAAGATGAAGACACATCTTTTGTCTGGGCACATAAACTCTAATAATGGTAAGCCTCAAATCACCAATGGCCATCCTTAACACAAGGTAGAGACACCCTATCTGAGACTCTGTCTTTTAAGATGAAGACAGAGAGTGATGCTTGGCAACATCATTTGAATCCTGAACCTACTGTATTTGGCCACTGAAAGATGAAAAGTTCTTGCCTAGAAATAAAAAAATAAATCTGACTAATTTACAGACAAAGCTTGAGTTATCTAGGAAGCTCTAGTTAATAATATGTCATAGGGAGTTGGAACTATAGGTCATAAGCTCAGAATAGAGATCAAAGGCTAGAGATACAAAAATCTACTTTAACTCTTCTCTCCTTTTGGAGAAAAAGTGGATAAAGGATATTTTTGAAAGAGATTCTTTTTAAAAGATCTAGGACACTTCATAATTTTTATTTTTAGTACCCATAAGGGGAAAAAAGTTAAAACATATTTTATAAATAAGTAAAGCCTATCTCTTGATTAGCTAAGGAGAATTAAATTAACAGGAATAATACAAAATAAATAGGTTTAAACAGACACACACACACACACGTGCAAGAAGCATTATTACAGTATAGACAGGCTAGAAAGCAGTGTTTGAATCTGGGCTTTACCACCAGACAACTGTGTGACCTTGGATAAGTGTCCTAACCCTTCTGTGCTTCCATTTCCTTATCTACAAAAGAGATACCACACATACCTACCACTTGATTTGAAAATTCAGTAAGTATTTAAGTGCTTTACCTGTATTAACTCTTAAACAGTAATATAAGAACAACATATAAGTACTGCATAAGGAGTTGCTATTATTATTTATTTGGGGTTTATTTGAAAAAGAACTTTTCCCTATGTGATTTACCTTTATAATTTTATATTCTCTAGACTAGCATCAAAGTAGTTTGCATTTCTTCAGTATATACTGAATGGCAGGAAGATAAAATCTCAGTAACTCTGAGTGGTTTAAAGAAAACTAATTTGACACTGAACTGTTTATAAACATTGAAAGCAAATATTCAATACATGTCTTCACAAGAAAAAGTTATGATACTGTGAAATTTTAATCAAAAATGTATAAACTGTGAAAATTAAATTATTCATCTTTTTCATCTCCTGTGGATGCTTCACTCACATCTTCTCCATAGTTTCTAATAACCTTACACTTTCTATCCTCTGAGTCCCACCGTATTAAAAAGATCATATCACTTATCACCCAAACCAGGACACTTTTGAGAGTAAAGAAAAACTATTATTAATAATTATATCAGGACAACAGGTGTAAATCATAGCCCAAACAATCTAGGACATACGGTCACCATGGCCAAATTCTTTCTCTGCCCTCAAGGACATACACAGGTCACATGAGCTTTCTGTAAAGGTAATAAAGCAAATTCTTGTTACAAGGCCAATGGTAGATAATTATTTGACTTTTTCTCTCCCAGACAATATGTGTCCTTCATTAGTTAGCTTAACACAAATATGAGAATTTTAAGCATCTTTTTAAGATAAGCACAGGAATAATTTTGGACACAAAAGGCTTTTCTTAGCACCAATAAATGACTAAGTAACTTCAGACCTTGAATGTGGGAAAGCCTCCACTGAGAGACAGAATCTCAGAAAAATTCTTAGTATAGTTATGAAGAAGATGTATCTCAGAATCAAATATACACTTATTCATCATTCCTAGCCATTTTTTCTCAGGGAAGATTTCCCAGAAACCCTGTTTGTATATGTTGAGAGATCGAATTTCACAGATATCAGTCACATGGTGATGCTAATGAGATATTACAGACATATACTATACAATCACACCCTTAACTTCACAGCTTATTATAAATGTAGTATACTTGAGAACTGAGTGTGGACCATAATAGCAAATTTATTTCAACAAAATAATTACTCTAACAAATTTTTTCCAAATTTTTTTGTCATATGAATGCATATAAGAAATTGGCAACATTAAATACGAAATAAATCTAAGTTTATTACTAAAATTATTTTCAAAAACAATTTTCCCTGTATTAATCATGGAAGACAATTTCAGAATACAAAAGTAAAATATTCAGTTACTATTATCACTAAAAAATATAAATTATTGTGATAAATACATTTCTTCTAAAGGTTCATCCCCGTTAATTTCTTATGGAATTTCAAAAAATACTTAAATTATGTGTTTTAAATCTGAAAATGATTGCTTTCTTGAATTACTGAAAAAGGAAGAAGAGGTGATTATGAAACTTTGGGGAAGGAATGACAAATGTGATAAAAAGCACACAGTTTGCATGAATTTATTTACATACACATTTAGAGGTCCAGATTTGTAATTCTAGTGTGAAAAATGATAAAATATGTTTAGAAATAAACTAAGAAACAAGCCAAATCAAATTAAAAGAAGGCACAATGGTTAAATCTTTGGTCAGCAACTCTCTACCAGTAAGACACCAATGTAATGAGCTGAAGTATATTAGCTGATTAATAGTTCTAACAGAATGAAATTTATCCAGGAATGAATAGGGCCTATAATACAAACCTTGTAATACTGCGGCTTATGTTACCTAAAGAGCATTTAACATTCATGCTTTCTTTGAACTGGAATTATGGAATAAGGAAATGGTGTGGGAGCTTATTTGTTATTTTTATAACAATGTTATGTAAAGTGCAGATAAGTAAGTTTTGAGTTACAAGTTATAGGGGTTGCACAGAGGAAAGAAAAACTGGTGTTATAAGCTACTGAGATAGAAAGACCAGAAAAAAATTAAGTCACATTATCAAGGGGGAAAAATTATCTTCCAAGTTCCACTGCAGAAAGTTAAACCAAGTTAATGGTAAAAATCAAACCTCACTCAAAGAAATGATTTACTTGTTTGTATGCATGACTTGGAATTAAGTTTTCACATTCACTGCTAAAACAGTTATAATAGTTTCCTGTTTAAATAATGACTTTTGAGAAACATATACAATGTGAAAAAACAATTTTCCAAAATATGCATATCATCATCTCTAATTTATAACTCAAAATTTACCTCATCTGCACTTTATATAAGATTGTTTTGCAAAACAAAATAAAAATATAAATCATACACTCTAGATGAAGGAACTATATCAAATGACTCAAGAATCCCTGAAATATTTCTTTTATTATTAGGAAGCTCAATTTAGAATATTTTGCAATCAAATAATGCCACTTTTAGTTTAAACTTTTACATTAATGCAAAAATAAATTATACTGAAAATTATAAATTTATCAACTGAATCATAAATGGATTTTCACTAGCAAAATATTTTCACTTTTATATTAACTAGGAAAAGAAAAACTATGAAAGCCTAAGAATTTAAAGAAGGAACTTCATAGAGGAAGCTTCAAAAGAAACACTGTTAATGAGAAAATTAAAATCCATTAATTACCTGTAAGATAACAAGAGCATTTTCTATGGAAAGGTCATCTGATGGGAGGCCTTCACTTTTCCAAATTAACTGTTCACTTTCAGTACAAAGAAATCTCCTCAGATCAAATTCTGAAAAGTTAAAGATAACACTATTAGGTCATGACAATGAGCTTGTACTTAAAGAAGAGGGAATAAAACTATATAAAATATACTCAAATAAAAGTACCATGACCATCCTTAATACATAATCCATTCTTCCCTATTTAGCACCAGAAGCAAAGGGGGAAAAGGTTAAAATAAAAAAAATGCAAGGGAATAGAACTCAGTTTATATTTCTTCTATTAAATGAATGTTTCACAGCTATAATCTGTGAAAACCACAAAATTCACAAGAAATTTTGAGTTCCTACATCTCTTCTTATGATATGAAATTAGTGTAAAAATTAAAATAATAAAATTCATGCAATATGAAAAATAATTCAGTTTCACAATTATTCAATAATTCAGGTCTCTATTTCATAGAGTGGTTTTAAGAATAGAAAAAGCACTACAAAACAATTCAGAATATTTATTAAATATGGCAAATATGAAGTAGCAATGGGTATCTTTTACTTACAGAAAATTTCCTCATTTAAAAAAAGTAAAATGACAAAAATCAAGAGATGCATTTGTAGTACACTGAAATTTCAAATTCATGAATAACTAAATACAAACTTTCAAGAGAAGCTGACTTGGTCCATTCTTCCAAACAGGTTTTTCTCAGACCCTCAGGAGCAGCAGAAAGATATGTAATAAATGCAGCAGCTAGCTGGGCTCTTTTAGGAAGAGTGGCTAATTCCTCTGCTATCTCTGCAACCTGGAAAAAAAAGAGAAAAAGAGTGATGTATAGGTATGTTATGGGAAAAAAAAATTACAGATTCCTAAGTTAGAATTTTGACTGTAGAAAAAGACGCATTGGTTTAAAGTAATAACCACTGTTTTTAATATAACTGCCAAATAAACATGACCTCAGACTATGATGATATCAAAAAAATACGGAATCCCAACGTAAACAGGTATGTACTTTGTCATTGAAAGTTCTTAATGATGCTAATCAAAATAGAATTTTTATCCCAAACCCAGTTAAATAGTATGAATTAGCATAACTTTGTAAAATATTATTAAGATACAGAGAATATGAGCAAAGACACAAAACAAAGATAAAGCATGGACACACAACTCAAAACCAAAAAACAAATAACCCAATTAAAAAATGAGCAAAAAGGAGCCTGAATAGACATTTTTCCAAAGAAGACATACAGATGGCCAACAGGCACTTGAAAAGATGTTCCACATCACTAATCATCAGGCAAATGCAAATCAAAACCACAATGAGCTATCACCTCACAACAGTCAGAATGGCCAATATTCAAAAGACAAGAAACAACAAATGCTGGTGAGGATGCGGAGAAAGCGGAACCCTCCTAAACTGCTGGTGGGTATGTAAATTGGTGCAGCCACAGTGGAAAGCAGAGTGGAGTCTCCTCAAAAAACAAAAAAGAGAAATACCATATGACACAGCAATTCCACTTCTGGGACTTTACCAGAAGAAAACAAAATCACTGATTTGAATAGATATAGCACCCTTATGGTTATTTCTGCATTATTTACAATAGCCAAGATATGGAAGCAACCAAAGTGTCCATCAGTAGATGAATCAAAAGAAGGTGTGGTATATACATATAATGGAATATTATTCAGTCATAAAAAAACAAAGAAACCTTGCCATTTGTAACAACATGTATAGACCTAAAGGGTATTATGTTAAGTGATATAAACCAGGCATAGAAAGAAAAATACCATATGATTTTATTTATATGTTGAATTTTAAAAAACAAAACAGAATAAGAACAAAACAGAAATAGAGAAAGAGAAGAGACTGGTGGTTACAGTGAAAAGCAAACAAAAATAGCAAAAATAACAAAGATGAAGCATGGACACTCATTAGTTGAAAGGATAAGTATAGTGTGGCTAAAACATACATTTGCAGAAAGAGTAGTAATACAGAAGTAATAAAAATAAAGATTGGAGGGAGACAGATTGTGAAAGGCTCCCCATGCCATGAAAAGCTTCTGTTTTAAACAGTGTAAATAATGAGTCACTGAAAATGTTTAAAAAGGGTCATGACCATTGTAATAAAATAGGATTTTAGAAAGATAATTCATCTGAGAGATGAAGAATGGACTAATTAAAGGGTCACATAAGAGGGAAACAAGTTAGGGGAATTCAGGTGGAAAAAAGAAAAGGACTCCCATTGAACACAGAAGACAAATATGAGCGATATTTACAAGTGGGAATCATAAGTAAACAAAGAAGAGTCTAAGCCAACGACATGTTTTTAGTTTTAATGTGTAGAAGAAAGATGCCTTATGAGAGATAGGAAATGAGGATTTTGGATAAGAAAAGAAAATAAGTTAATTTGGACATGTTGTATTTCAGTTACCGTGACAATCAAATGCAAATTCCAAAGTTTAATTTCAGCCATAGGTGATATTCTTAAGACTGGATGAGATAACCCTGGAATATTTACAAAGAAAGGAAGTGAGGAAGGGAATACTGAGGTTAATCAAACATTATTGAATGACCTGATAATTGGTGAGGTAAGGAATCTTATTGGTTAAAGAAAAGCAAACAAACACACTAAAAACACAACAAAGCCAAAATAACAGAGTATTTAACAAAGCTAAAATAACTGAAAGAAAGAAATGGCCAACGGTGTCAAATCCTAAGATTAGTGTCCAAAAAAATCTCTGATAAATATTAAATTTCCCATCAACTCATCTTCATCCCTGCCCTTCCCCAGCATAGATAACCAAAAGAGGAATAGATTGCATTGTCTAAAATCCATTCATATAAAGATACTTTGCTTAAAGATTAATTCACATAGTGATCATTAATATCCAGATCGTTTGTATCATCTATACTAAGCCATCTGAAAGTTCATGGATATTTCTCTCCTTTTTATTTTTTTTAACAAGTTCATTACATTAGAGATCTCCTGT